TATCCACCTCATCTGTAGTTATACACAAAATTTCGGTTTCAAGACTCCAGAACACCTTTGTATAATATCGAAAAGTATCACATTGAAAGCAATGTTCCAACTATTCAAAGAGTATCAAAGATAAAACCCCTTACTAAAGAGAACTATATTCAAAATATAAATACTAGCCAATTGAGAAAAATAGCTAAAGGGGAGATTTTGTCCGTCTTCTTAATACAAACACGTTACATAAATGAGCACATATGTAACACGTATGTAGATTAAAAAGAAGGGGAAAATGTTGGCTACTGATCCAATAATTAAATGTTGCAGGAAAGTATGAAGATAACGATGTTCCAACCTGATTGATAGAGTTGGCAGATGCGGAAGTCAAGGTAGTGCCAACGACGAGGGCCAAAAGGGAGGCTGCAGGGTGTGCAAGGAATGTCCCACAGACGAGAGGAGAGGGAGCCGCTAGAGCACAACCGGCCAGTGCTGTGGACACCACTAGACCGGTGAGACGGGCCTTGGAAAGAGCTGCCCATACACCTATCCAACCGATGAGACTTTGGGGCTTCTGGGTGCGTCTAGCTGGTGTTAAAACCTTACTCTGTACAGCTGAAAAAATGAAAGTTGAGGAAGCTTAGTGACTCATCACCGAAATCCAGGCAAATATTAATTCAAATTCCTGCCCATTTACTGTCGTAGGAGATGAACTTTGACCGAAATAAGAATTACAGAGAAATCTACCGAGCGTTGTAAGCAAGATACTCATTACCGAAAAAAAGGAGTAAGAACGGAATATAAAGAACTTGACGAAAATCGAATGTGACGCTGAAATCAAGTTATTCAGAACCTTAGACTTCTGTGGTATTGGTGGAAAGATGTCAGGAAACAAAATTTATACATCAGGAAAGTGCCACTTTAAGAATTTTTTAAGAAACTCTTTGTGATAAAAACGGTGCTCTTAGGAATCTCGAATCAAATTTGACTTGAATTTCATCCCTATAGAACAAGAAAAGATTGTTACAACCAAGGAACATTTACTCAGAAAATCTTAAGGTGTTCTATTGAACGAATGGTACGTGCCAAAGTGTTAAAATTGATAAACTAACCGACCTCTACTGTTTCGAGGTAATTTTTCATTCGATATATTGTACATTCTCAAGGTGGGGTGTGTGATAGACTTACCTCCACGTGGTGCACCCTGGGCAACGTATACACAAACGGCAAAAAATCTATTAACCGGCAGTTGACTTCTAACTTCAAGCTACCATGGCCCGAATGCATGTCATATTCGACCCCTTCCATAGTACTCATTTTACCTTTTCTCTACCTTTGTCTGTCTGACCCCTTCACATCTGTGATTCATTATTCTACCACCCCCTCTTGACTTTTTGTCACTTTGATGTCCCTCCTCCCCCTCTCTATGAAGCCCAAAGTCAACTAAAGGGCTAATGATAACTATCAAAATGCCTGGCATAAATAAATAAATATTCTAAAGTTAAGAATTTACATTACTCCATTGCAGATTTTTTGAAAAAAATTTGAGTGCAATGTCTAAGAGACTGAGAGATCCATGAAAATGATCATAAAGACGTGCCACGGGGAAATTCCCATTCTTTTAATTACTGTTTGCTTGGATTAGTTACTGGAGTTTAAACAACATGCTATTGAAGACGCAAACGTTGAAGAAAAAATTCATTAGTTAATTGTTAAATACACAATCCCTGAATAAGTGAATATAGACAAAAATACTTACGCTTTTTAAGGACAGTTGTAGAAGGATTAAAGGAATTTACTAAGGATAATGCGTAGGTTGAGTTTAGACGAGGTGAGCTGTTTGAAGTGGTCTAGAAAAGAAGCGAAATGAGCCCCAAAAAATAATAATTTAAGTTAATAGTCAAATCCGAATTACCACATCAATATTCGAACAACGCCGTGAAGCATAACACAATCGAATATGAGTTTTAAGGCAAATGTGGAAATAGCGAACTACAGAATGGCAATGAAAAAGTGTCATTCTGATTCATCACCACAAGAGTCAGTTAGAAATATTTTAGAGAGAATTCGTAGCCTTGGATCTTCGCAGGTAAAACTTCCACTCAAGATATTTCGGGCGAAAGCAACAACTACGGGGAACTGAGTTTTCACAGACGAATTAAAGGCAGTGGTGGAACAATTTGGCTCAAAGTAAACACAATCCTGTTCTTGAAGATGGACAGAAGGAGCACAGAGATTTATAAAGATAGTGAGACAGTTAGCAAGACACCCAGCATCAATTAGAGGGTATTGGATAACGTCAAAAAGTGGGGAAATATTCGAAGGATTGTGAGAGAAGTGAAGACGAAGGCTTTGTGAACTTGTTACGAGGTTGCAAATACCGGCAACAGCTAGTGATATTAATTTGAGATAATCTGATGATTTCTTTCCCGAGGGATTGGTGGAAATGAGTTGAAGATGTTCTCGAACAACTTCAATGAGAATCAAATGGACGTCAAGACCAATAAGATGAGGACAATTGCGGGGATCGTGAGCAAAATTACCGAGATTCGCTACGATCTGAAAATTACAAATATTATGCATACATACATATAAATTTCAAGGGTTAATACTGACGCATTACTTGCTGTTTGTAATCCAAAACTTTAGTAACACACAATTCGTTCACTAGAGACTCCAGATATTGCAGACGTTCAATGCTTCCTGGAACTGCACGACCAACAGCACGACGGAATTCAGGATCAATTTGAAATCGGTAAAATGACTTCTTAAGTTTATTAGAGGGCATTCATCTAAAAAGTTGGAAATGCATGTAGCATTCAGGAAAAAATAGTATGATAAGTCAAAGAACATTTTTGAATAAAAACTCATTCTAAGGAGACGATTCAAAATAATAAAAACTTAGACTTGGCAACCCAAAATACCCACCTGCACTTGCCAATGCCCAGTGTGTTCATAGGCTAAAGGAATAAGGAAGCCCATAAAATTAACAGTTTCAATAACAACATCTTAAAATAAAATAACGACCAAATGTCATTACTTATAGTCTCCTATAATAACTTTTAAATTTATTCATCATATATAATAGATGTTTAATTCAGTTTTACTTTGAAGATGATTAGTCTTATTGTATATACGCAAACATTTAATATTTTTATCAAATGGCAGGCATTTTGATAGTTATCATTAGTCCTTTAATTGACTTCAGGCTTTACAGAGGGAGAGGAAAATCAAAGCGAAAAAATCGAGATGTAAAAGAGACCGACACAAAGGTAGATGAAAGGTGAAGTGAGTACTGTGAAAGTGGTCGAACATTACATACAATGGGGTCATGATAGCTTGAACCCAGAAGTCAACTGCCTGTTTATAGACTTTTTTGCCGCATGAATATATGTTGCCCAGGGTGCACCACGTGGAGGTAAGTCTATTGCCCAGGGTGCACCACGTGGAGGTAAGTCTATCACACACCCTATATACTCAAACATAAAGTCATTATTGTTTAAATAACTCTGACATGCATAAAGAATAATTTAAATTTAAATTTTTCATATATTTGTTTGAACAATTTAATTCGGTTTTTTCCCTCCATATGGTTGACTTAATAGAGAGCTCAGCCTAGTTTCGGTTTTCTCTCCAGCCCGTGCATTATTCTCTCCCATTAAAGTTCGTGTTTTACGTATGATGATCTATTTAGGATATATTTCTTAAACTTTGTACTGGAATTATTTATATAACCGACTTTTTCATCCCTTATTTTATTCATATTTTTGAAATTGGCAAGTCTTCAGGTTGAAAATTATTTTAGCATTATAATTATATTATTATTGCTTTCTGCTCTTTAGTATTAAAATTCAATGTTTCGCGAACTCGTGTGCTTATGTGCTGGTTTCTATGCCGGTGCCTATTGTCAGGACAAGTATAAGGTTTCCATTCATTATTCCTTCTTATAATTTTTTTAGATAAGCCCTGTTAAAGATCCAAAGGAACTGGGAGAAGACATTGCAAAGTTCTTAAAGGATTTTCTGACGGACAAGAGACCTTGATTTATTGGCTAGGAGTAGTTATTTTGTACTAATAAATTCAATAAATCGAATGCTATTGCTCTTATATAGTTTTGATCATTTTGCTCTCATTTGAGATTGAAAAGTGTTGCTTTGGTTATTTACTTTTCAGTTTATGGACCTTACTACGCTTCTTGATCAGCGTATTCCCTATTCAGATATTTCATCTCCTTGTTTAATTCTCGTCAATAGTCGAGGTCTTAATATCTCACATGAAGAGATTTTAGCTTCTGCATTTTCGAGTTTCTTCAATAAATCTCTTGAACTTTCCACAGCAAACCTTCTTTTTACTGCTAGGCAACCGTTTTCACGTTATACAAGTTTCCTTGATCCCATCTTCCGTCGATCTATTGGAAAGCATCAGGTCTATGGTTTTGATTTTGCTGATGAACTTGTCAAAAATCCACTAGAACGCTGTGGGGAAGCTCTGTTTCTGTCTATGAATCGATTAGTTTGTTTATTTATATTTTGATTTAATGTAACTAACTTTAGATCGACGATTTTGAGGTTCTATCAAAAGAACGCAAATTATTCCTCATGGTCGATGATCTGTCCTATGTTGAAGATCTTGGAGTGTCATGCAAGAAACTTCTCTCTCGTCTACTGAAGTCGTCCATTCATTATCTCCTTATTGGTTATCACAATACCAATGATGGTATTACGGATGATTATCTTTTTCATCTTCTTCACAGAAGAGCAGATTTGTTTTTGGATGTCTCGTCCTTAAATACCGGCTATTCGAATACGTTAGATGGGCAGGTGAGAAAAATTGCATCACTAGTTAACCATTATTTAGTTGACAATATCAACACCAAATAGCGGGATGAGTTCTGGAGAAACGCAAAAAGATCATTTCACATTCTTTGCTGAAGGGCAGACGGTCCGTTGCTATACTCAAGGATCTTCCAGTCTCGTCAGCTGAAGACAGTTGTAAATAAAATGTAATCTATTATTCCATAAATCCGAACTTCTAGTCCATTTCTGAACGGGTAATTCAGCCTACCCCCTACTTACTGACTAAATGGTAACTGATTTAATTGCTAGTGATGTAATCTTTAACGATTTTTTTAATTCGAAGTTTAATGCTTTTAGGTAATTTACTATATTTGCTCTTGTGTTAAGTTTTGTACAAGGTCTTGTTCAGTTATCTAAGAACGCGGACTGCCGTAGATGAGACAGCGATAGATGTTTTATTTTACCATCCAGCAAACAGTTAGCTATATTCCTGTTTCTTTTAAATTTCCACAATCAACATCTAAAGTAGGACCATTGCTTATCGAGGCCTTCATAGGACCAAATCTTTTTCCACCGTTCTTTCCACTGTTATACTAAGCGTAATAACCGTCATAGGGCTCTCATTAATTCTTTGAGAAGGCTTATACACCTCCATTTACGCACTTCTTCCCTTAGATTAGCCCATATGGCCTCACTTATTTTGGTCTCCTAAATGCTAATATATTTGCTTGTCCTAGAAACCACTGTGATTTCCTCGTTTTCATCTCTTGTCCAATACACCACAGTTCAATTAAACTTTTTATTTCCCGTTTCGGGTGGTGACTGTTCTATTCCTTTAGTCTTTATAATGTGCATTAAATTTGTTATCTATACTAGAGCTACTTGAAGTTCTGATATCTGCTTTTTCCCTAATATTTGATTTCATTAACTTTACTTTTTCACATTTTAAAAGTACAGTTAATTTTATAGTATTTCGCAGACCTATTGGATGATTTTTCGTGTTCTGTGATTGAAATCAAATGGTAACTCGTGTTTCAGTAGCGACGTCGGTTTAGATAAATGCAATAATCTAGTCTCAAGACTTCCATTCAGTTAACTTCCTTTTAAAATTAAAATTATATGGTTCGGAATATAAGGGGTTAGTAAAGCTCTTCATACTCCGAATATTCCGACTGGTTCACATTTTTATATCGATCTTGTAGTTTTGACGCATATCTCCTTATATAAGGAGTGCTAACTATCTGAAGTGTCTTGCATAACACATTAATTATGTCACGTGGGTGGTCTAAAATGTGAAGTAGCATAAAACAGGACTTTGGCTTGCTCATTTACTAAGGAATGATCATCGTTACTGATTTCTAATAAGTAGAGCTAAAGTAGTTTCTCAAATTTAGATTTATGATGTACTCATCTAAATTAAGCAATGAAGTATGTCAAACGTACTGTTTAATTTTTTAGGAGAATTTCAGATCAATTGCGTTGGGAGGTACCACCTATACGACAAGAAGGCAACATGTAAATGGCTGAACAATCAAAACGCATCAGGCAATAGAAAGCCGTCTTTGAATACACGAACCATTGAATGCAACACAAAATGATTTACTCATTTATCTAAAATTCGCTCGTAGTTTTAAGCGGTGCACACCGAATTTACAAATACCCACTTCGGTTCCCTTATCTTAATGGGGTCTTTTCTGGAAGCCTATCATGATGTGCTCAAGCAAGCTTCTTCTTTAGGTCACGTTTCCTTTACTTGGAGGGCCTAAGGTTTTCTTAAATACTCTTTAAATGCAATTATGTACCGCCGATTCGTGAAAAGGATTTTTTCCGTCTTGCACTCGTAAGGCCCAGCATTACAAGTTCCGGATTCAATAAATAATTCCCTGTCAATTTTCATAAAAATGTGCTGAGGTTTCTTTGACAACTGGCCTATCTAATTTATTATTTTGTTCGTTAGATATATTAAAATGACTTTACTACTTGAAACTCTGTTCTTGCGAAACGAGGTCCTGGAACTGCATGTTAAAATATTTGCTAAATGTTGACGCCTTCCTCGTTCGAGAAATGTAAAAATTAGGGTTAAGATGTTTGAAGTTTGTGAAGTTGAACATCCCTAATACTATTATTATTATCAAAACCTCTATTATCACATTTAGTATTTAATTTTGCCTTTGGAATAAATTAGTACAATGATTCATTATTGTTCTTATCTAAATATGTGTGCGTCACACAGGTAGTGTCGACCTTTGACAACCTCGAGAGGTCTATCGAGAGATAATTTCGTTGCTCGAGTATTTTATGGGTTAACTAAGTATGACTAAGAGCATACGCGCGATATATACACCTGACAGCGGTTAAAGTGGAAGCAAATATGCTCAAACTTCGGCCTCCCCGGCTCTTGGGTCGGTACCCCTTTTCAATCAGTCAGTGGTTGGGTATATAGCCCATCAGTGCATGATTGCGCTTCAGTATTTCTTTCGGGCTATCTGTATGTTCAGTCATCCTTTCATATGTGAGTATAATTATGAAATCGGCGCATAAAAAACTTTTTTTTCATTAATAAAACGTGACTTCTTCAAAGTTATGTCAACAGCGAATATTCCTAGGTAGCTCTACTAATTATAGGCAAGGCCTCAATGGTTTGGTCTGTTTATATACGGCAATTGAAGTTTGGCCGTATAATCCGAAACCCTATACTTGCCACTAATACCAATGAATGAAGCAGTTTCCAAAACAACGAACTAAACTGAGAGTAAGAAGTGAGAAATGCGTTTATACGGTTTAACATATTGCTGCATCTCACTGTTCTTAAAAAGAAAGCCATTTCTAAGCGCCTTTTATTCACGTGGCTTCGATGTCTGCCGTGGGGACCCAGGTTTTAGTCATAAGATACCAAGGAATATTGTTTTAATTCTTTTTCTTGAACGATTATTCTGGCTCCAGACCACAGGAGTTGTGAACTGTCAGCAGCGAGGCCTTAACTTTTCAGTCGCCCAAGGGAATTGAAGCAGATAATTTTTGAATGAATTGCAACAAAGGTCATTGGAACGCGTGGAGGTGTTTATAACTTACTGAACAACTCAAGCACCGATCCAATTTAACACGTCCAAAACCATTTTTCATGGCGGAAGTGATGATTTGTATCCATCCCTGATATAACTCCAACCCGACTACTAATCTCGTTATCAACATTTTTGTCATACTTTTTCTCTAGGCAAATAGAAGAGTTCTAAGATGGAAGTCTAAGGCTGTGCATTTCAAATAACTTTGCAATGAAATACCCTGGCTTTAGCTCTGAGGGCAGAGTGAACTTCGATCTTTCAGCTCTCATTTTTTATGGTGCGGGGTGTGCGATAGACTTACCTCCACGTGGTGCATCCTGGGCAACGTATACTCGTGCGGCAAAAAAGTCTATTAATCGGCAGTTGACTTCTGACTAAAAACAACCATGACCCCACTGCATTTCATATTCAAATAATTCCACAGTATTCACCTCACCTTTTTCTACCTTTGTGTCTGTCTGTCTCTTTTACGCCTGTGAATCATTATTCTGTCCCCCTCTCGACTTTTTACCACTTGGAAGTTCATCTTCCTTTCTGTGAAGCCCAAAGTCAACTAAAGGGCTAATGATACCTATCATAACGCCTGCCATTTGAAATAAATAATTTTTTATTATGTGAAGTATGGAGTGTACTTAAGTTGGTTAAATAGAGATCTGTACATGAAAATTGCCCATTTATAATGCTTAAATCTGCCAAATTTACACTTCATCAATTTCGATTCTAGCCTATGGTTTATTAGGCTAATTCTGAATTCTTTAGAATAGCTAAAATCGGTTGCTGTGTCACCATAATTTGGAATAGGCAAACGCGTTACCTATTATATGCGATTGAATACGAACAATTTAAAAAAACTGGTTTTCTAGATACCTTTTAACAAATTTTCCTCCCTGAAAAGTATGAAGCATGGAGCTCTCAATTATGCTAAATGAAAAATAAATGCAAGAATTATTTTGATTCAATAAACTAACTTCATTTCGTGAGACCCCATCCATCCGTTTTTAACAGGCATAATTTGAGACTTCTTAATTTAATTCATTTATTTCTGCCTTAATTCCCCACTTAGAAGCATACCCAAAACGAGTTTTGAGTTGCCAAATTTTTGTTCCTAACAGATCTAACTTAATTGTACAATTAAATACAATTTTAACAGGCAAAAAACTGTCGTTTAATTTAATCAAATTGAAGCTTATTGTAATTAATTAAGTTTCTGGGACAATTGTTCGTCTGACTAGGTTCTAATTAGTTCGTTCACGAAACTTTTGTAAATCTTTGAGACCAGTTGAATTGAAGGTGCCCTAGATAGACGAAGACGTTGCAATTTATTTCAAACAGCCGAAACGGATTTGTCTTCTCTACTCGTCCAACCACAATGTTGTCGACATGACTTTACGTCGGGTGTTTGAATCGTGTATCGAGGATAGTTATTTTTACTGTAAGGCAAAATTTTCTTAAAATTGATGTACTTTGGAATATTGATAAGTTTTCTTCAGCTTTGAGGTGATTTTGAGACATCACAGCAAAAGCTCTAAGTCGAAGGCGGAGTGGACTCTTGTTGTTAGTAATTTACAATCAACATCATTTATTCATTTATATCAAATGGCAAGCGTTTTGATAGTCATCATTAGCCCTTTAGTTGACTTCGGGCTTCACAGAAAGGAAGATGAACATCAAAGTGAAACAAGTCGAGACGGAGAGGAGGAACAGAAGAGAGTTTCAAAGACGTAAAAGAGACAGACACAAAAGTGGAAAAAGGTGAGGTGAGTAGTGCGGAAGTAGTCGAATATGACATGCAGTTAATAGACTTTTTCGCCGTATGAGTATACGTTGCCCATGGTGCACCACGTGGAGGTAAGTCTATAGCACACCCCACAATCAACATCACAAATAGTCCGCGTTGGAAAGAACTTTCACTGTCTGATGTTGTGGGTTTTTTTCGCTTTGAATTTAATTCCTCCCCTACCTGGTAGTCCTAATTCCACCGTCGGGTTGAATAGAAAAATTCATGGTCATTGCAAATTTCGGCATCCTATTGAATATTAATTCAAAAATTCTCAGACATATTTGCTGCATTTTTAACGAATGAAGTTTCGTAGCTCTCAGGCAATCTGGACTTTTCGATCGCGAGAACATTAACGTTAAAGTGCTTTCTTGATTCCCCGAACCAAATTCATGGGATACCCAGCAATTTAAACGAAACGGCGCATTTGATTAAGGTGTTCACGTATGTTTTCCCCCGAAACGGCCACAAAATAATTAAAATAATTATCATAAGGCTTCCAAATTATTTGACCGATATTAAAGTGACGGCAACGCCAGTTCATATTTGGACTGATTAAGTTTTATGCGTTCTTATTTTATTTCAATTAGTTAAATAACTAACCATTATTACTTGATTAAATTACTCGCGGAAAAAGAATTAGTTATATTTATTGTGGGATGAGTTAACAAATAGGGATGCAATCTTCTCATCGGAGTGACTTCTGGAGTCTATTTCTCACCCAATTCAAATGTGCTCATGGCGTATCGTAATAAAATTGTGGGAGATTACGGGAAGCGAAAATTTCTGAATGTCACTGAATTGAGGTAGTTACTATTCACTGAATTAATGATTAGGGAATTCGGTCCTTCTAATGATTTTGAGACCTAAAGCAGATGCTATAATTTAGAATGAGTACAGAGCAAAACATGGGCAATTTTTTTCCCAAATCATTAAGCTTTGCCTGTGGACAATATGACGGGCTTTTACCCCCCCCCCCCCCCCTCTTTCTGTGGCTCTTGTTCAAGTGGCTGCGCTGGTTCCAGTACTCATTCAAACCGGGAGAATAAAATTGGGGGGCTGACGAAAATGGAGTTCAAAAAATGTTGAAAAATACGTGGTCAAGCCTTCAACTCAAATGGTAAAGAAAACTATCATCTTGAGTACAAGCCCTGAGCACAATATGTGCCTGTCTCGCTTTTATCAACTCCGATTACTGAATAGTGAGTAGGCGAGCGTCAAATCTCCATATAGGGTTTATAACATTCGGGGTGGGAGGCTTTCTTTGTTGAAAGTTTCACCCGAAGGGTCTTTTAAGAAAACTCTTCAAAAGCAATTACCTTGCAATCCAGCCGTGCAACAATTTAGAATTCAGCTTCATAACTTAATCGGCAAACATCTGCAATCATTACGAGTTATACTAGTTCACCAACACAAAATCTTATGATGGAAGAAAAGATTGGTCCCACTGTCAATAAGCAGTCACAATAACAACCAAAATACGAAATTTCTCATGTTTGATTTTAGCTCTATGCACACACAAATATTCTCTGTTTTACCAGTCCTTGGAATGGCCCACGCGTTGTCCTCATTGAACTATGAATTACTCATATTTCGTTCGCAGAAATACGTTTGTATGAGGTCGGTGTTTCTTTTATAGCAATCATTAATTTCTATCTCATCGAGATGTCTCTATCAGAGGATCGAGTTTTTGACGCTAAAGCGCATTCATCGGATGAGGAAGAAGATGATGCTCTTTTCAACTCGTCATCTTTCCGAGCATTCACACCACAACTCGATCATTGCGAACGACAAATTATCCGTTGTGTTTTCAATGACGATTTGGAAGGCTTCATCAATTCTTATGCTGGACCCTCCAAGCTTCTTGAGAAAAGTATCCTCCTTGGCGATTTACAAGTAGGTTTTTTCAATCAGTTTCATTTTTCGCACATGGTGATCTAACCGGCGCATAATTTATGCCTTTTTCAGTACCTCTCTTCGTACAGAGCGATGAAGTTCCCGAATTGCTTGAACCAAGCTAACATCGTGCACATTGTTTCACTATTTTCTGCTCATCGGATTCTACAGCACCTATTGGTTGATTATCCTGCAGCAAGGATTTGGAGTACGACTGAAGTGAGTTTATTTATGAATTCCTCTTAACACCTACTTCAAGCAATATTTGTTCTATTTGCGAATTTTACTTCCGATCATGGTTTCCTCTATTCGTACTTTTTTTGTTTTACACGTACCAACCAAAAACGTGGATGTCTCATTAATTTGAAATCTATTCAGAAAGAAAGTCAAGTTCATAGTAATTGGACTGCTTAATAGCGACATTTTAAAATTACGAGTTTTCAACAGGTATAGGAAATGTGTGTATATCAAATGGCCGGCTTTGTGGTAGTTGACTTGGGGCTTTGCGGAGGGGAGGAACATCAAAGTCACGAAAGGTGGCGGGGGGGGGGGGACAGAAGAGCAATTTACAGATGAAAAGAGATCGACACAAAGGTAGAGAGAAGGGTAAGGTGAGTACTGTGTTGTGGTGGAATATGACATACAGTTAGTTCAAGTTGAAAGTTTCTTACACTTTTCTACCAACGGGCATTTTCTCTATACTTAAATTAATAATTTCAGTCTCCTCTACAGTATTTTTACGAACTTTTATTTTTTGCATCTTGTCAAGCACGGTTTCATTGCCAAATTTTGTAAATGACTATAAATTATGAACAATAGTATTTGCTTGCATACTAATCAAAATATTACCCTTAGAATAGTGGAATTTGAACTTGACAGACACTTTCAAATAGTTATTTCTTTATGAGGTAGGCTGGGGCTATAACGGCACCTTCAATATATTTTACAGGAAGGAGTCAATGCCCTCCACATTTCAGCTGCTGTAGGTGACTATATGGCTCTTCGAATGCTTCTTCAAAGGAAAGATGCTCCCATCAGTGAAACGGATTCGGTAACTGAAAGTATATGCATTATAGAACGATTATCCAATGTCCATTTCAATGTTGTTACTCCTCAAATTTTTAAGCTGAAGCGAACCGCCTTGCATTATGCTGCGGAGGCCAACTTGGAATCAGTTATCACTCTTTTGTCCTATAACAAGGACCTGTTGAAATGCGTAGACACTGTGAGCCCATTAATTGACTTTTTTACATAGGACTTGAGTCCTGATAACTTTACTAATTGTTCTAGCGATTTAGGATGAACTGACACCTCTTGAATTCATTCGCTTTGAGGGTCGACCAACAGTGCAGCAGTTTCTCAAATTGCACACTGATCTTCTTAATAAAGACGGAGAGAATAACCAAGGTTTGGAAAGTAACAACGGGAAGGTTTGTTGCAAAGCTTAAGCAAATTATGATAATTTGATAGTTAGAAAACTTATGGATATGTAGTAATATTAGGACGATTAAATAGAAGAAGCTGTAAGCCCTTTTACTTCCTAAGACTTCAATAGCTAGAGAAAAGGAAGAACACAATACACTTGGGAGTTGGGTGGGTTGCCGAGAGGGGTGGGGTGGGGGGGGGGGAAGATGTG